AGGGACATTCGCCTGGCCTCCCTTCCCAGGACAGCTTGCGGCCTGGCGTAGTTTTCCTTCCCACGGTCTCGAAGGACCCAAGGGTTGGGGGCTGGACTTGAAGGCCAGAACCTCTGGCAGGTTGGAGCTAGGCCACCCTGACTACAACCCCCCAACCGGAGTGGGAGCTCTGTTCCAAAGCGGGCGCTTTGGAGAGGTCACTCTTCCAAAGCGGTCGCTTTGGAAAGGTCTTTGGCAGTTTGGGCGTGGGTCTTGCGGGAGTCAAAGCCATTGCTTTTGTCTTCGCTCCTCCCTTGTGGAAAGAATAATAGGGCAAGAGGGAACCCAAGAATCTTGCACATCGAAGCAACTATATAAATAAGTTTCCGCGTCAGCCTACGCACGCCCCGGGGTGTTCGCAGCTATCCCCCCGTCACCGGCAACCACTTGCGCAAGAACCTTTGGCACCAAAACGGGGTGGCGCCCAGTTTGCTTCTAGTTCAACTTTTTTCCGTCAAGTTTCCTGATTTCATCGTTTTGAGGGTTGCGCCAAACATGTCCACCAAGGTTGTGGGGTATGACTTTGGACCATGGTCAATGGTAACGGCGCAAGCGCTCAAATTTTGAATGCGTAGTCAGATGTGTTTTCAAGGCTTGGGTGCGGGACGATTTGGGTTTGAAGGGCGGGGAAGCCAGAGAGCCAAGACCTAAGGGGGTGGCGTCAGACCCGGGGGCTAGGTAACAAAATCATTTTTTCGAGGTTTGGGGGTGGAAGCTCGGACACCGTGGGGCCCGCCTTTTCACTCGGCCTCCCTTGTCAGGACGGCTGCTGGCTTGGCGCTGGCTTTCTCAAAGGACCCAAGGGCGGGCTGGCCTTTAACCGTTGGCCAGGCCAACAACAGAACCAACCCACCAGGTCCGGATTTGAACAAAACTTTCCCAAGCAGCCGCTTTGGCCTTCCAAGCGGGCGTTTGGGAGAGATTATTTTTCCAAAGCGGACGTTTTGGCCAGGCCCCTCTTGCGAAGCAGCCGCTTTGGGAATGTCCCAGGTCCCACTCCCAAAGAGATGTGTTTTGGACGCAGCGCTGATTGGAGTGGACACCACTGCTTCCGTCGTCGCTACCCCGAATCCGGACCTTGACCTCCATAGGTAAGAGCCCGAGCGCCAGGGTGCTTTACAGGAACCTCCGCCCCTTCGCCAGCAACCCATGCTTGCAAGAACCTTTCGCAACCAAAGAGGGTGGCTGCCAGGTTGCTTCTAGTTGGACTTTTCGGGAAACAGAAGAGGCGACGCTGGCTGTGAAAGAACCATAGAGGCGCCCCTCAAA